GGTGGGCGCTGTGCCGTGACCATCTTTTTTTGGCTGCCTGTCTTTTTTTCTCTCTCTCTCTGGTGACTGTTCCGTTTCGCCTCAAAAGGGCGTCCCCTCCAAGCAACAGCTCGCTCTTTGTTCCGTGCCTTGGTCCCCCTTGCTCAAAGACGGACCACGTATGTTGCTTCGCAGTACCGAATAGGTACCCCCTTCACCCCTGGCCAAGGCAAAACCAGGGTTGTTCGTCCACTTGTTTCTCTTCCCAAGATAGGCGCGCAGCGTGCCGAAGCGGACAAAAAAAGTAGTGTGCATGTTAGTCTAGGTAGTTTTTTCTTGATCCAAAACGAGTGGCCGCGATGTCATCATGTGGTGTTTCCACACACTTCACGCTTCTGTGCCTCTCTGTCTATAAAACTTTTTTTTTTCATCCTCATAGCCGCCCGGTTTCACTGCCCCTTCTTTTTTTTTTCCCACTTGGGTACCTGACCTGGCCTGACAATTTCTCTCTTTTGACATTTGACACTTCATCAATCTTTCTTCTTCTTATAATCCCGTTGTGCTTCCCCGTCGCCCTCCCTTATATCTTTGTGCTTCCCGTCTTCCTTGTGAATCCCGAACAAGCTGCAATCAAACCTCCGACCAGTCCTCTCTCAACAAATAAACATATTCACGTCTCATATCATATACATCTTCTCACTTCTCTTCTCTGCACAGAGCAACCCCTGGCACACCCTCTCTCTGGACCTTCCAACGTTGTGTCCTCCTACCTATATTGCCACCCTCTCCACCTCTTTTCATAGAGGACAAAGCCGCATATCAAACAGTAAAAAAAACACCAACCGGCAGCCCCCGATAAACAAATTTCCTGTCGACAGCTGCGGGAAACCCATCATCTTTCTTTTTTTTTTACCCTTCGTGGACGTGTCAACAAAATCTTTTCCTGCCGTGCTCCCCATACATCACAAATGGCTACCGAGGCGACGGTCTTACACGGCCCTCTGCCGTCGGCGGCAGATGGCAGCACAACCTCGCCAACGCCGCGCGGCGGTGACGGGAAGCTGGACGACCGGCCATTGAGCCATACCGCCGTTTCAAGACAGAGAGAAAGGCGAGAGCGGATGAGAGATGAGGCAGAGACAGATAAAGAGGCGTATTCCTCGGACGACGACGCTTCAGTCAGGTCGAGCCGGAGAAGACCAGCCCCAAGACGGTCATCTTTCCCGTACAGAGACATCATCAAGTCTGTTTTATCAAACATCATGACCAAGAACGAGGAACCCACATCATCTTCTTCTCCATCTTCTTCTCGGCCCTCTTCTTCACAAGGCAAGGACAAGTCCGATATGAAGGACAAGAAAGTCGAAGATGTCGTCAGGGGCCTTGCCATGGAGGAGTGGAACGCGCGGTGGCTAGACGAGCTCGTAGCCAAGGTCAAAGGAGAGCGTGAGTTTCATCCTCATCTTTTTTTACAAATGCCAACTAACACATGAAAACAGTCAACGACGCCGCCTCAGATCACAGCGTCTCAGACGGCCGCCACACGCCATCATCCCAGTCCAGCGACGATGATGATGACGCCTCCCTCAAAGACATGAAGCGCTTCCAGCCCACCGTAGAAGACTACGACTCCGACTCCGACTCGGCCTCAGAGCCCGACTCCCAAGCCGCCGCTCAAGACGACCCCCAGCCTCTCAGCCGCTCCTCTTCCCTCTCATCAGCCTCCTCCAACGACTCGGCCATGTCCTCTCCCAGCAGCCAATCCTCCGTCTCCACCGCCGCCTCATCTCCTCCCCCCTCTGAGACGGAGTCAACCAAGGACCCTCGCCTGTCTCCTCGTCCGACCGTTCACTTCTCCCCTCCTACCATTCACTTCCTGCCGCCTGATCCCACGCCCGAGATTGAGCGCGAACAACCCGAGCTGTATCAACCTCAGTCGTTGCCTTCTCAGCTGAGGCCGCCTATTGTGTCTGAGAGACAGGCTCCTGTCGTGGCGGAGAGGCCGACTCCTGCATGGGGAGCGCTGTTTAACGATAGGGATGAGCCTACTCCGGCATTGGGCAGATTTCTCCGCGGTTTGGCAAACTATATTGTAATTAAAGCCCCCTTTCTCCCACTCAACCATTTGCTTGGACATGTAAGCTAATACGAGAACACTCAGATCGCGGAATATTCGCCCACAGACTCCCTCGTCATCACCCCCGACAAGCTCTTCAAGTTCTACACCCGCTACAAGCTCGACAACGAATTCTTTCCCTTCCAACGTACGTTGCCCCTTTTTCCCCCTTGTTTCAAATCGCATACATGTACTTATTCATCACAGGCGTCTTCGACACCCGCTACCACAAATCCATCCGCGGCCTATCCTTCCTCTACACCGACCTCCGCTGCGAGCACCACCTCGTCCAGGAATCCATCACCCGCAAGCCCGTCATCCCCTCCCTCACGCCCGCCGGCTTCGAGGACTGGATGACGCTGCTCATCCGCGCCTTTCCCGACCGCGAGGCCAAGAGGCTCGACATGGTCCTCGCTGACGTTCCCCTCCTGGCGGACGACAGACACAGCAGCAGGAGTCCCGTGAGGAGCAGTTCTAGTGAGAGGCTTCTTCCTAGACAGCTCCCAAGGCAGCTGTTTCCGGAAAGGGGCCATGCTAGGGCCTTTGACCTGTTGGAGTCGTCCTTTTCGGAGTGGAATAGAATCACTACTGTGCCTGTTCCACCCCCTGAAGTGGTGCCTGCTCACCCGCTTGCTTATTCCTTAAGTTCCAATATTCCGGCTTCGCTGCAGAAACTTCCTCCAGCTGCAAGCAAGGCCCTCATGGAAGATACGCGCCGTCACAAAGACGCCTGCTACATTGACCAGACCCGTCTGCGTCCATCTTCCATCATCTACCCATCCTCCGCATCTCCCTCATCACCATCCTCATCTTCCTTTTCCACCTCCTCCATCCCCGCAGAAGTCAAGTCCCATTCTGAGCAGCCATCTACAAGCTCCAGCTCCTCCTCCAAGCATCACCACCGCACATCCCGCTCCAAAGAACGCGACTCCCGCCATCGCACTGCTTCAGACCGATCTTCCCGCCCGCGCGAGAGATCGCCTACTGGACGGCGCAGCCACAGAAGCAGGCGATATAGGGGAACTAGCCCCAGCGAGTCGGTAGAGCAGAGATATAGCTCTGGAAGAAGCGATGAGCGACGGAGAGAGAGGGAGAGGAGGGGCAGCGTGGCTGAGAGGTGAAGTTAGCCTTCGCTATTTGTTTTCATTTGTTTACATCCCAGATGGGAATTACATGTATTTTATGTTTGCTTTGCCTGGGAGAGAAGATTGGATCGGGTTACAGGCAAGAAAGGATATCCGGGGCGTTGCAATGGATCAAAAAGATTGGAATAGCATAATCAATAGCGATAGCTTTTTTTATTCCTAGGATATTTATTAATAACAAAAAAAAAAATAAAAAAAAAAATTGAAATGAAGAAGTCCGAGATTTAGGAAGCTTTGTATATATTTATATAGTTTTTTTCTTCTTTCTGATTTTTATCCTCACAGTAAAATTCTCTTTTCTAACATCTTCGTCACCCTCAAAACCACTTCATTATTTGTCGCTCTCAGCGACTTTCTTGCCATTTCTCCCTGCCATGAACCTTTTAAATCAGCTTTGTGCCAACTACTTTTGCCTACTGGCAACCAAAACAACCGGTCCTTCACTTTGCTACATGGAATTTCATCGATTGCTCCATGGGCGCTGATTTTTCCGCTCTTTTTTTTTTAAAAAAAGCTGAGATAAAATTCCAGTAACACTTATACGTAAAATGTATAAACATGTAAGAGGGGCGGGCCTTTGGGTGTAGGTCAAGCAATCTGCCACCACAAAATAACAAAACAAGAAATCAAAACAATAATGCCATATTCCGCTCGCAAGACGCAAATATTTTGTTAATGCGATGCCCAAATTGTAGCTGTAAAAAAAAAACATATAATAAAAGACAACGCACACACTAAGTACAAAAAGAGGCAAAGAGTAAAAAAAAAAAAAGATATGGAAAAACGACCCGTGGGAATAAAAACAGCCTTGCGCCCATCACTATGCCTGCCCGATTTGTTTTGCTTTTCGTTGTAGCCGAGTGGTGAAGAAAATTAATCATCATGTGCATCCTTTCACAAAGATCATGATTATTTTCTTCTCTCCATCCCAGCTAGAAAAGGATTGTGAAAAATGGTAATAAAGGATTTACACAATAATCACTCTTTCAAGGGTGACCCAAAATAAGGAAATTGGGGAAATAAAGAGTGTGTCACAGAGAGGTATTGTACCTCAGTGATAAGAAAAGAAAAAGTGTGGAAAACAGCAAAGGTCGGCCACATCATGGTAGCTTTTGTTCGCCCATTACATAGACTCCACCGATTTTTGCATGTTCTCGGGGGAAGAATGGAAAATATGCTGCAAAGGAAAAAAAAAAAAAAGGAAAGTGAAAAGGACAAAATGGATCAAAGGACAAAAGTCGCTATTCAATCTGTTTATGCTCGCTTGCTTTGCTTTTTTTTCTTCTTGTGTTTTTGTATGTTGTTTTGCTTTGCTTCTGCTTCGGTCATGGGACCAAATGTGTTGATGCAGGTGCAAAAGAGATAGGGGGACAAATATAATCAGTCTGTCGTGTTCCAAAACTTGCCCCAGCCCAAAATGAAGCAGGAAACAAGGAATGCACTCAAATTGTCATAAGAGAAATGTCTCAACCGAAATGAAATAGGCCGTAACAAGGGCTGGGGGAGGTTGGGTAAAATCGATGTCTCATGAATCATCTCGAGGAAAAAGAAAAGCGTAGTCGTCGTCGCCCGTTTTATCATTTCGCCCCATCCAAACAAAAGAAACGCCGTTGCGTCATCATCGCAAGTCAGTCCTGGTCAAGATCGCTTCTCGATTCTTCAATGGTTGACGGCTTCGAATATCGTGAGAGCACCGCTGATAGGTGGTGGCGACGACAATCTTATTTCAAGCGTCATACTCGTGGAATGATAGGCAGTGGTCACCTCGCTGATGAAGAAGAGGCAATTGACGAATCGTAACCCAGGTTGCTAACCATCTTGGAACGAAGGGCGCGCTTCCTCTTATAGGCTCTATAGCCTTCCTTGAAGACGGAAAAGGATCGCTGCAATTCCTTGTCTGGATGTTCTGGTAACTGAATCTCGACAGCCTTGAGGCAGACGCGGAGATTTGTTAATTCATTATCGTTTTCCTGCAGTTCTTCTTCCCTAAAAAATGTGTGAGCTCATAAATTAAATGAAATGACATGAATTGAAAAGCATTCAAATGAAAAATATGAGAATGCATAGCGGAAGTGAAAGGCGGAAATAAAAATGTTGGCTTACAAATAAGTAATGCGGTTCTGGAGGAAAATGATGCGTTGGGCAGCACGCTCAGCCCGTTCAACCAACAACCTATGAATGTGCTGCGACAGGTCAGTCAGCATATGCGTATAAACGTGCGTGGGCGGAAATGAGAGTGGTGGTGGAGAAGAATGAGGGAAATGAGATGAAATGAAATCGAGTGAGGTGCAATCAGGGAATGAAGAGAAACACTCACATCGGACTCTTCTTGGCGGGCTGTGAGATTGTTCACCACAGTGTCGAGCTCTTCATTCAGTTTCACCAACTCGCCAATAATTTTGTTGGACTGCGCCGCGTTCATTCCGCTCTTCGGTAGCGGGGCCTCCTCTTCCTCAAACTCGTCATGGCGATCATGATACATCATGGATGACGAGGGTGTGGGCGACATTTGGTCGGGAAAGCGACTGCGGAACAGAGATGACGGTGAGCTGAAAATGTCGCTGCCGCCCAGGTCGCTGCCTCTGTTCTTGCGGACAGGCGTCTCGATGTTGAGCGGGCGAGGCCTTCGCGACAGCGGCGGGCTCCCATAGATGCTGCCGGTGTTGATGCCGCCGCCCAGGGCCTGCTCGATCTGGTTGACCTGGCTGCCGAGGGCCATGAGCTCCTCCATGCTGTCGCCGTACGTCAGGCGCGATGCCAGCTTGCTGAGGCGTCTCGCCAGCTCCAGCTTGCCGGCCCGCACGTCGCCGCCATCGCGGCTGTGAGAGGCGTCCAGCTCTCTACGCAGGGGGCTCAGGACGCTGCTCCCCGAAAACGCATAGCTGGAGGACCCGACGCTGGGACTGGACCGCATCAGCGGCGGCGGCGTCTCGGACCCGGCGAGGCTGTCTCGTCTGGTGGTGCTGGTGCTGCGTGTGCTCTGGCTCTGATTGCTGACTCGGCGGTGGAATGCGCTAGGGCTGGTCCGGCTGCCAGTGCTGGTGCCCGAGCTGGTGCGGCGCTTCAGCGACTCGAGCACCTTTGGCCGCTCATCGTCGTGATCCCGTCGACCCATTGCGATGTCTGGCGAGCGAGGACTCCAGATAGGTAGAGAGAGAATCTGCCAGACCGACTCCGAATATGCGGTGTCGCAGCAGCGCCCCGACAATCAAGGCTCAATGAGCTGGCCGCGATGTGGTTGGGCGTCGCTGTCCAGCCAGCCTCTCGTATTGCGTGTCGAAGCCCCCCTCCTGTGTCTCCTTGTTGTGGTCAATTGTCGGCTCCCCTCAGCACGCGTCACCGGGACGCCAGGCGGGCGCAGCTGCGGAGGCTTGTCGTCGGAATTCGAAAGTCGCGGGCAATGTCGAGGATGGCGATGGCAGAGGAAAAGCCCATTGGCGTCGGGGAGGTTCTGTGGCCAAAAGTGACACTCTTAGCCGCCTCTCCCTAATTCAGGCCTTTTGGCGGGTTGGCAGGATTTTGGGGGACGAGTCTGGCTCAGGTACAAGCACGGGAACAGCCAGGCCTGGCGGCGGATCAATGGGGCCCCGGAGCTCCGTGCTCGCAAACAGGGATTTGCCAAGTCATCACGCAACATCGGATGCAGGGATCCATGGATGTCTAAGCAGAGCGCCGGCAGACACCACCACAATCAATTAGATTAACTGACCGTCTTGTCTGCCCGGCCTCGCGCTCGTACTGGTTCGCAGCCGGTTCGCACCGCCACACCCTCTCGCTGCGTGCATGAGAAGCGCGCCACACGTCCGACGATGAGAGGCCGGCTGCTGCTATCGCGCATTAGCTGGCACCAGCAGCGAGAGTCAAATCCTGCGTCAGCCAGGCGCCTGGGCTGCGAGGAGGCTGTCATTGGCAGACGGGCTCTGTCCCATCAAAACGTATGCGGTTGGACGGGCAGCTCGCTGCAGAGATGGCAGCCATGTGATGGCTTTGGCCGCTGCCACATGTGTGTATGATGCGTATGTAGGCGCATGTCTGTATGCATTCAAGCGGCGTGGCGTTGCTCGTTCGATATATCGTGATATGACGTGAAAGAGGATGATTCGAGGGGCGATGGAAAAGAGTCGACAAGAAAAATTGACATTTTTAGGCAGAAGAAGATGCGATGATAGGACGATGAAAAGACGATGAAAGGAGAAGAAAGAATAGAGAGCGCAGAAATCAGTGCCCAGGCAGATGCACGCGTTAATGCTGTTCGCGCTATATTGCTAGCTATTCACGCCTTGCCAACCACCCAATTTCGTCAATGCCGGGATCCCCTCCAGGAGTCCCAGCCTCTCTGTACAGCACATGTACTGTATATCTGCACTCATTGCCGCCCAGACGTCCAGCCGTGATGCTCTGAACTGTACGCGGTTGCTGATGGCGAGGTCGCAGACAAAGCATGCAGTGGCCCAGCCGCGTTTTGCTGGCATCACATCATACTGCACCGTATCTGTAACTGGACGGGGCGACACGCCCTCACCTAAGCCACATGCACTCTACTGCACAGCACACAGCCCTTTCATCAGCAATCTCCAACAAGAAACCGGAGCTGGAATCGCCAGCTGCTACGGTGGGGCTTGCGCTGTGCCCTGTTTTTCCAATTAAATGGACGTGTTGACGTGCAGGATTTACGGCATCGAAACGGCTCCCAGTACATGTGCCTTGACTTCATGTTACAAGTGACAATACTCGTATGCCTCCGCAATGGCGCTTCAACCTGCGAGCGTCACATCTCTGACACCAGCACACCGTATTCTCAAAATTGTCATTAGTAGATGCCCTGCTTTGTGCTGAGTGGCCCTCCATCGAATAGCAAGATGCTGAGAGATTTCTGCAGCAAGGGGCCGCCGCATGAGGCACAAGCCCCTATGCACTTACACAGAGAAGCGAAGCCTTTGCAGACGGCTAATACCGTAGCAGCAACGTTAGTGCTGCCTGCCCTAGCCAGCCGTGGGGAATGACGATGCAGGAGTAGCGGTAGTGCATACGAGCATGAATGGGGCCTCTTGTTAGCTTCCAGCACAGCAGCTTGGCAAAAACGCAACACCGCTGTTTTGCTGCGGCAGAGGTGGATGCTGGTGAAGTCGACGCCGATGCAGATGCCCCTTGGAGTTGCGACTCGTCCGGGTAATGGATGATCCGCCGTGTGGACGAGCTAGGCCGGATTGATGTCGAGTTGTCCATCAGCTGGTAGAGGCAGTAGATGAGGTTGGAAAGCTGCTCTGGTCCAGAGGCTTTGAGATTATATACCTAAGGTACCTACTCAGTCATGATCTGCATGTACATGTAATCGCCCAGTTATCGACGGGCCCGCCTTCAATTATCCGCAATGACTTGGGCATTGGCATCGCTACCGCCATGGATCTTTATGGCGATATTCTTGGATGAAGCCATGCCCCGGCCATCTTTAGGGCATCATTTTGCTTTTGCAGAACCTTGAACGTACGTATGCAGCGCTTTACGCGTTATGTGGCTGTTCTGACGAGATTCTGCAGCCTCCAAACATGAACAGCCAGGCACCTGTCTCATTTCCATCTTCCTGCGCGCCGGCTCTCGATATGTCGGATTGACGTTATTGGGTCCTGTCGGGGGCATTATCCCACACAAAGATACTGTGTTCCGGCTGCCCCTTTCTTCGGAAGAAAAACCACACGACCTGACGACCAAGGAGGACCTCGGCGATGAGAACTTTGGTCTATCATCTAACAAGCGCGTGCCGATCCCATGCTCTTTCAGAAGTTGTGATGTTGGATATACCTTATGCTCGGGTGTTGGATATTGAAACTGAGCCCCTTTTCAAGCTTGACATATATTTTCGTATGTCTCTCATTTCAGTCTGCTGATGTGAGTCAAATAAACGTAGTGTATCATGACAGTCGTAAAATAGTATCTTCCAAGAGTGTTCCCGTAATCCGGTGATTGTGAAATACATAGATCAAAATTATCCCCGTTTTTCCTGATTATTTACTTTCTTCTTGCCGTCAAACAAGATGATGGCCGTATCAAATTAAGCACCTCAAATTCCTAGCTGAACTATCTCAGTTGCAGACTGCCTTTTATATCACAGAAAAGGGACAAGAGGCCTTTATTTTACCCTTTCCAGTCCCCCCATAGTATTTCTGCAAATTCGACGAATTAGAGCGGGCTGCTTTTGCCTTACGTTGCACCAACTGGCGCGCTCAAGCTTCGTGGAAGCGAGCCATAGACATTATAGAGGACGATACAAGCTCGCTGAATTTCCCCGTCTCTGCCAACCTCGTTTCATTCAGACCAGCTTTTCTAAATGTCGGTCGTTGGATGGCCTTCTGCGTGAATGCAAAACAGCCTATGTAGACAATGACAGACATTTTCCATATGATGTTACGCGCAACAACGTTGACCAGCCAAAGGAAATGACAGCTCCCGCCAGCTCTTTCTTCTTTACTTTATACTGTGTTACACTAATCAGTTGTGAAAGTCTGCTGCTGGCGAAGTTGTAACTATAAATTGAGCAGTGTTTTCCTTTGAGAACCAATTTCCTTGAGAGCTTTGCGAGCGGTCTTTGCTTAGTAAAGTTTGTAGATCTACCATTTAAGAGTTTAGGAGCCGCCAGGTCTATTTGTGGCATTCAAAACAATGAGGTGTGAGTGTGCTGCGGCGCAGTTGGGTGAGGAGGCTGGAGCGAACTTTAAGAGGATTAGGTTACACAAATTTCTTTTCAGCGCTTGTCTTGTAGGAACATGGTCATGTGGAGGTGACTGGATGCACTGAACTATATGCATTCAAAAGAGGCGGTGGCTACGAAAAACCGGCTCAAGCAGATTATAGGGGACTAAGGCGACTTTCGTACCATCTCTCTCGGCGAGGCTCAGCAGAAAGTCGAAGTCGAAGGGTACTTTCCAGTGTCAGGATGCTGCATACCTTAATGACTGAACCAGGGTCGAAGTCCCTCAGGATACTTTGCGGTTGTCGGAATGATATACAGCGGCTAAACCAGCTTCGCAGAACGCGATACTGGACACAAGTACAAAGTTGACGATGGCGGATGCCACAGTTAAAGTCTCATCGGCCGCACCAGAGGTGATGTACGTAACATTGAACTCTGTATATCGAAACAGCCTCCGCAGTGTAACTCCATGTTGTAGCTACAGAAGCTTTGCCCAGATGTGCCATTCAATGCGATCCCTCTTCGGCGAATCTGACTCGGAGTGCCGCCGTGAGAAGTGCGCCAGCAGCGTTTGCCGCGCTTGGATCTCGCGCACCACACCTCCGGCACCAATTCCCTGATGCCAAGACCATCGACCTGACGGAGCCTATGGCCCTCAAGGGCGTGGGAAACGACGGACCGTGAACCTCCCACGCAGCGTCCATGCTGTTAGCCTTCCTGATTGACCTCCGGTGAAGCTGATCATCTGCCCCTTCATCAGGACGTATGCCTCGGGGAGCTGGGCTTCTTATTCGTGTTCATCGGCATGGGGGATGTACTCCATGTTGTTGTTCCTCTTGCGGAGCCTAAACTTCGAGATCGAAGCACTTGGTGTAGGCGGACATCTCCCGGATCTGGCCTCCGATCCCGCGGTTCAAGTTCTTCATCGAGATGATGATGCTGGGCTTGAACCTCTCGCCGCTCGTCACGTCCTCCAACTCGAGCTTGTCCTTGTACGACATCAGGGAGCCCCCGTGAATTCGAGCTCATGCCACGTGGCGAGCTTGTCCCCGATCTCCAGCTTCGTATTGCCCAACAACACGTATTCGTTCATACTCCCGTGCCTGTTCACGTAGGTCTTAAGGACGAGGCTGGGGACCGAAGGCCTCTACTAGTCCTGCTCGTACAACACGTTCCACGGCTCGATCTTGCCGCAATCCTTGGGCAAGGGGTAGTCGATATACCCAGCCACTTGAACCACCCCATGTAAGCGAACTCCTTGCTCACGATGCAGGCGTCCTCCGTGTTCTGCTGCATGTTGATGCGCCATGACCACGTTCCTCCCCGGGACGATGGTAGTTGTCTCCGAGTTGAACTTGCTGTCCACTATGGCGGCGAATTGCGTCTTCAATATGGGCTCGTTCTTCCCTACCGATCTTATGGTGGCCTCGCCCTTGATCGGGAGCTCGCACAAGGTCGCTTCATAATACTTACCCCGAGTCTGGTCCTCGGCTTCATGTCGAATCTGTAGAGCGGTATCATGAGGACGTTGGAGGACGCCATCTGGATGGGCTCCGTCTGCCACGAGGGGAACTTCTTCTCGAGGTAATCCATGGTGAGGTTTGGGAAGGGTACCTACTACAAGTGGTGGGCCGCAAGCCGGAGGAGTCCTAACTCATGCTCTGGGTATGATACCTGAATGACAACGAGCAACGTTTGCAGTGTCGGATTCTTTAGTTAACTTGCTTCGAGCCGATCTCTCGGTCGCATGAGTAAAAGAAGGGCTAGAAGGACGAAAAGTCTGTGCGCCCTTGAAAAAGTTTTTCCCGAGGTCGTTTTGGACTTGGGCCGGGTGACAGTTGGTAAGACATCAGTGGCTTGGAAAAGACAAGGAAGAGTAGAGAGCGCAGAAAACAGTGTGCAGGCAGATACATTTGTCAATAGGAATAGCAGAAGTAGCAGAAGTAGCAGAAGTAGCAGAAGTAGCAGAAGTAGCAGAAGTAGCAGAAGTAGCAGAAGTAGCAGAAATAGCAGAAGTAGCAGAAGTAGCAGAAATAGCAGAAGTAGTAGAAAAAGTAGAAAAAGTAGAAATAGTAGAAATAGTAGAAATAGTAGAAAAAGTAGAAAAAGTAGAAATAGTAGAAATAGTAGAAATAGTAGAAATAGTAGAAAAAGTAGAAATAGTAGAAATAGTAGAAATAGTAGAAAAAGTAGAAATAGTAGAAATAGTAGAAATAGTAGAAATAGTAGAAATAGTAGAAATAGTAGAAATAGTAGAAATAGTAGAAATAGTAGAAATAGTAGAAATAGTAGAAATAGTAGAAATAGTAGAAATA